GTGAAAGTTTTCAAGTATGTTAATGATCCAGTGGACTCCTGGGCCTTTCCCTCTTAATGGTGGGGCTGAGGGCTGCCTCCTGTGGAGTTTAAAGGCGGCAGGGGGTTGCCTTCTTTGTCACTTACCGCTCTGAAGTCCTTCCTCCAGTGAAAACCTTTCCTACAGCGGGGGGGGGGGGGGGGGCGGCCAGACGTTTTAGGGGTTCAAAGGCAGTTGAAATGTTCCTTGGGCACTCCCCTTTCCAATGTTATATCTTTCCACATTTAAAACACGTTGAATTAGGCCATGTTGCTACTGCAAACATTCCCCTATTTGGTGAGCTGTCCAAACTACCCAGTTTGTCTTTCCAGCCGGGACAAGCCTACTCGCTACCAATGTCTCACTAATACCACTCTTTCCAGGCCGACATGAGTTGCCCCTCCCCTTCAGTTAAATGTGGTACTTGGTTCTACATTTAGAAGGAAGAGGGAAAATTGCTAGGAAGCAAGGTGATGAAGCATACCGGGAAATTAACAAACCCTTATACACAGAAAACATTGAATAAAAGGCTGTAGCTGCAATCGCCGGGTTAGTCAGCGTTTGGATGGTAGCACAGGGGAGGGATAGGCTTTCTGATGAGAGCAAAAAGGATGAGGAAGGGGAAGGAGAGGTGTTTAAGGACTGATTGACTGGGGCAGAGAATGTCGTAAGCAATACTTTCAGGAAATAGATTAAAAGATATGCTAATATGGAGACAGGGGGTGCCCTGGCATTTTGAGGGTTAAATTCTAAAGCAAGTGCAAAGTTGCTGCTCTCTTAGATAATTCCTCATCAGTTTGTACCAGATTAGAGAGCATGGAGACAGCCCTGCAGAATGGCACAAAGGCACTCTCAGGACATTACTGCAGAATGTAGGAGTGGGGACAGGCGCCGCATCAAGAGATGCTCATGGGATGCCTGTGCAGCCCTTGTCCTTGTGGCCTGTGTATGTAGTGGGTTCTTTTATAACAGGCTGTTTCCTGTCAAGGAAATGGTGACCAAAGGTGGAAGAATCAGGAGGGCAGGGTGGGTTGGGTGGTGATATATTGTGTGTCAAATAAAGCCTGCCTGAGAATCAGAAGACAGAGCCAGCTACTAGATTAGACATAGAGGCCAGGCAGTGGTGGCACACACCTTTAATCCTAGCATTCGGGAGGCAGAGATCCATCTGGATCTCTGTGAGTTCAAAGCCACCCTGGACTATATGAGATTGACTCAGTCTAAGAGAAAAACAGAGCCAGGCAGTGGTGGCGCACACCTTTAATTCCAGTACTTGGGAGTCACACGCCTTTAATTCCAGCATGTGAGATATCATGCCTTTGCTACCAGCAATGGGGAAGCACAGACACTTTTAATCCCAACACTAGGAAGGAAGTGAAACAGCTGGGTGGAGAAAGGTATATAAAGCATGAGAAGACAGGATTTGTGGAGATAGGATCTCGCCTTCCATTTGGCCTGAGGATTTGGTAGTGGTGACAAGTTTCTCTCGTGGCTTTTTCCTTTGTCTGTCTAATCTTTCAGCATTGGCCCTGGTTTTTATTAAAAGACCATTTAAATTCTGAGCAACAGGGGTGGGTTCCTATTATCTGTGAATGGTAGGTAAGGTCAAATGCAGGAAAATCTGCTATAAATATTCCAGATGCTATGTCTAGAGAAGCACACTAAAATAGCTCCTTCCTTCCTTCCTTCCTTCCTTCCTTCCTTCCTTCCTTCCTTCCTTCCTTCCTTCCTTCCTTCCTTCCTTCCTTCCTTCCTTCCTTCCTTCCTTCCTTCCTTCCTTCCTTCCTTCCTTCCTTCCTTCCTTCCTTCCTTCCTTCCTTCCTTCCTTCCTTCCTTCCTTCCTTCCTTCCTTCCTTCCTTCCTTCCTTCCTTCCTCTTGAGATACAGTGTTATACAACCACAGAGCACAGTGGGTAGACATGTGGTAGAGATAAGGGCTGAATGGCTAGACGTTCGACAGTGTCTGTCTTTTGGGGTGAAAGAAGAAGGGTGGCTCTTGGCTCCGAGCTTCTGGACAAGCATTTTAGAACCCCACATCTGCCACCTGATCCCTTCCCAGGGCTTTCTTTCTCCGTCCATTTTGGAAGCGAGCTCGCACAGATCTGCAGTGAACGGTATATCCTGAAGCAGTGAATGCTGGGACACTGTCAGTCATGCTAACAGACACCACCCTGTCCCCCGCCCCGCCCCCGCGGCCCCCCGCCCACCTGCTTGAACTTGATTGGATGTAGAGGGATTGGGTGGGCGGTGCTCCCCACTGTCACTCCAGGTGCTTGTGCGAACCTGTGCCCTTTGGAGATGGTGGCACAGTAACTTCTTCTCTCATCTGATGCTTTCTGCCACTGCCAGATCCTCTCATCTCGGTCGACTCCCTGCTTAAGCCGGATGATGAAAATTCACAGCTGAGGCTGAGAACTGAGGGAACTTTTTCTCACCGGGAACACCCTATAAGGCATTGGGCTTTCCCGGGTCAGAGTTAGAAGAATGAGAACCAATAAATAGACGTTCCCTCCCTGGAAACTATGAGATCCTTGAGGATGGGGCGGTGTGATTCCAATTGCCAACCTTGAGGGCCCCTAGGGCTGACTCCCCACAGCTCCTCATTAGAGGCACACATGCTAACCATTCTTTGTTCTTAGGAACCCTGGACGCGGAGATACTCCAAGATGAGAAGGACAGTTTGGTGTTCAGACTTGGACATTCGACTTCGTTTTTCTGAATTTATGTCTCCATCTGAGAAATATGAATTTGCAGAAGGTGAACAAAGTTCAGTTTCATGATATCAAAGCTTTTTTTCTTTTACCGTTTTAGACAGGATCTCACATAGTCTGAGCTGTTCTCAAACTCACTACATACATAGCTAAGGGTGACCTAGAACTGCTGACTTTCCTGCCTCCATCCCTCCAGGACGGGCATGGTAGGCGCAAGCTCCACACTTGGTTTTACATGGTACTGGGGATGAAACCCATGGCTTCGTGAATGCAAGACAAGAGCTCTACCAGCTGAGCCGTGTTCTCAGCCCTCCATGTCTTTATTATTTCATAAATCTATGATTCCATAGTATAGCCAGTGTTTGTTTATTTTTATCAAGTATATATTTATAAAACCGATTCGATCTTACATGAATATCTGTTTGCCAAACTGTATTCTTGGATTGAGTTCTCTAAAGAAGGCAATCACTTAGTCTCGTGGTACCACGGGATGGCCATACCGAATTTAAGGAAAGGTTCCAAAATTTAGAGCCAAATTAGTCTTGGTCTTCTCTGCAGGATTCAAAGGGGCTCCTGGCAAAGGTGGAGGTCTTGTTGGGGAAGCATTCTTCCCAGGGGGTGGAACCCATAGCTTTGGTGAAAGCCAGCTCCTCTTCATGGTGGGGGAAGCCTGGGTCTTCTAAGCTGCCTGTCCTTGAGTGCCCCCTGCCAGGCCCCCCTGCCAGGCCCCACCACTCTCACTTCTGCTGAGAATTCAGCTGCTGAGCATTAAGCAAGACAAGGGGCCTGACTTCCCTGCCTTTGACATATGGCCGACTCTGCTCATTCTCCAGGGCAAAGCTGCACACGAGACTGACTGTTCCTGCACTGGGTCTTACTTACCCTCATTGTCCTCTCAGGCCCATATCACACCACAACATACCTGGTCCCCTGCCCTGTGTCCATTATAAAGCTGATGAAATTGAATGTCACAGAATGTCACAGCAGCCTTGCTCTGTACACTCTGCTAATTACTTTGGCTTTCTTCTGAATACCCCCTAAGCCTTCAGGATTAAGGTTCAATTTACTAATTTATACTGAGAAACTAATGACTAAAAATAGAAAGCCAGTTCTGTGTTTTAATCTCTGTAACAGTTCATCTATCCCCGACATAGGAAACCAGAAGCTTCTAGAGAAAAAGTGAACAAGCTTTTTGCATTCCACCGTGGGTTTTCCAAGGAAACCTGAAAGGTTAAATTAGCAATCCCCTTGTAAACACTTTCTTTTCATTATAAAACATATTTTTTGATATTTGTTTTATTTTAATCCTTATGTGTATGAATGTTTTGCCTGCGTGTATGTCTGTGTACCACATGAGTCTTTAGTACCCATATCGGCCAGAAGATGGCGTTATATCTCCTGGAACTGGAGTTATAGGTGATTGTGCAGTGCCACGTGGGTCCCTAGGATCAAACCTGGGTCCTCTGCAAGAGCAGCCAGTGCTCTTAACTGCTGAGCCATCTCCCCAGCCCCTATAAAGCATACCTTTCACTTAGAGATGGCAACTGTGATTTTTTTAAAGTCTTCCTTTTAGCCTCGTGGTGTATGTTGAATTTCTTCCTAATTAGTGTTCATAAAGCCATATCATTTTTCAAAGTAATTAAAAAATTTTTAATGGCAATGGAAATTTAGCCTCCTTCTCTACAAAGTCTTTGAGAGACAAGGAGAGTGAAGATTTGTATTCTCAACCCTGAGACCAGTCATCACTAAAATCCACGAAGTTCCTTCCACTGACTGAGGTGAGTGGGAAGCACCTGTAGCAGGATTCGAACCAGGGACCGGGGATCCACGGGGATGAAGTGCTCTTTGCAGGAGCAGAGTCCCCTCAGTTCTGCTGTGGGTCTTGTTAGGTCACAGGTTCTGATGCAGTAGAAAGGTGAGGCCCAAGATATTGACCCTGAAAAGCTCCTGTGTGCTGCTGCTGTGGCTCTCTGGATCATATTGGAAGTGTGAGACCCTGAGGACTGGGGCCCGTGAGATGGCTCAGTGGGTTAGGATTCTTGTTGCTGAGCTTGACGGTCTGAATTTGATCCCTCAGACTCACAGGTTAGGAGAAGAGAGTCCACTCCCCACAAATTGTCCTCTGACCTCCATGCATAGACCACTGCATCTGCACATGTGTGTGCGCACACATAAACAATAATGATAATAAGTTAACTAATCTTTAAAAAGGACCTTGATGATTATCGTGTTTTCAGTAGTCATGATGGTTTTAAGAGATGTGTTTGAGGACTTAGTCTGACTTTGGGAATCAGAGTGGCTTATAATGACAGTGAGTTCTGAAGGAACTCGTGTGTTATAAGTTAGGTGCCCTGAGAAGCCAGGACTTTATGGAGGGGTGTGGGTGGGAATCATATAGTATGGATGGAAAGTCCTGGATAGCAAAGAGCCTCCCAGTTTCAATGTGTCCCTAATGTCTGTCCCTAAGATGTCAGGTTGCCCTTATCTTTGGATGAGGACATCGATACCAGAATGGACTTCCACAGTCAAAATCACCTCAAGAGTCAGTCCTTGAAGCATCAACTTGTCCTGACCTCTCAGGGAGTCCAAGTGTCAGGGTTTCCTTGAAGATTCATAATGAATGTCTCTGGGAATCTGAATTTATTCCAAGGTAAGACCTGAGGTCTGGGTTGGGCAGGATGCACTTGAAACTGAGTTGCTCTGGAGGATCACGGGTTCCTCAAGGTCTAGGTCACTTCGACAGGTCATGATGATGCCCCGAGGGCTCTGAGTGAGGAGATGAAAGCTGAGTGAGGAAATCAGAGAGTAATTGAGAACTCTGATGTGTGGGGACTTAGCTGTGAGTGAAGCCACTCATTCATGGCTGAGTGAATTCAGGGGTGAGCTTGGGTCAGGGAAGGGCCAGCAGGTGTGGGAGCCAATGCCAGGAATCACCTTGTAGAGCATGAAGGTCCTCAGGCTTCAGTGTGTCCTGGAGTGTCCTACTGTCCTAGGGTGTCAAGGTATCCAAGAGGACACAGTTGTGATTTTTCAGCCCAGAGTTCCCTGGAAACAGGTCTTTTGAGTATCACTCACATGCTGAGATGTCAGGCCTTGTTCCTGGCCCCAATATCCTTCCCTCCATTTCCCCCTCCCTGGAGGGGGGGTTCTGAGGAGGGGTGCCTTGGTGGGAATGTCTTCTCCTCTGTCCCCTGCCTGCTCCCAGAAGGGGGATTTAACAGGACAAAAGAATCTGGTCCCCTGGGAATATGAGCTCTTGGCCTCAGCCCCTGGACCCTCTGACAGAGCACCGTCCCTCATCCGGCTTGTGATCCTCCCCCAAGCCAGGGGGCTCTGGTGACCAAGAAATGATTGGACAGGCCCATGGGGCCAGGAGGAGGTTGCTTCTCCAAGACTGAGGGAGGAAGACAGGTAGCGTGAGAAAGTAGAGGGCGAAGAGAAAACAGAACAGCCTCAGGGAGAGGGAAGTGGAGACAAGCAGAAAACTGGGCAAAGTCAAGAGCGGGAGAGGATGAGGTGTCAATCCGGAGGCAGGATGGGGGATTAGGGAAAAGGGGAAAACAGTGAGCGGACAGGTATCTAGCTACACACACACATACACACACACACACACACACACACACACACACACACACACGGTAAGGGAGAGACTCAGAAAAAGCTAGAGAAGAGAGGTCAAAAGACAAGACAGGATAGACAGACAGAGAGAAAGACTACAGGGAGACAGAGACTGGAGGACAGCAGGCTAGCCCATCTTTGGTTTGGGTGGCTAGCCATGGAAGCTCAAAGAAGGACCCAGCAGGAGAAACAAAGGAAGGGTCGTGCCTGTGGCGGAACGCTGCCTGAGCCCCACGTGACCTCTGGGACCCTGATCTCCACAGTAGGTGAGTGAATCCCCAGGATTGGCTTGGGTCCCTGGGGGAGCAGCAGATGTGGGTCTCAAAACCTGATTGGCTTTGGGGCAATGGTTTGTCCCACGGAATGTTGAGAGATGGGAAGCAGAATTTGGGGACCTTAGGAAGTGAGACAGTAGAAGTCTTTTGCTTTACAGGTTGGGAAGTGAGGCCCCTGCCTGAGGGAGCTATGGAACAGGTGCCCAGGGCAGAGGCAAAGCTAAAGCCTTGTTCTTGCCCAAGGTGCTTCCTTCTTGGAAGGAGGAAGCTGAAGGGGTCGGGGTTCTCCTCCAGAGAGGGCAGTTCAGTGCCTGTCTGAGGACACTGGGTACACAGTGGGAGCCACACCCTTGGTTTCCCCCCCCCCTCCCGGGATGGGTCTCTCCGCTCCAGACCCCTCCTTCCCTTAGTGCCTATCTTCCCAGGTGTCTCCTCTTCCCTCCCTGTTCTCTCTTCCCCGGTGGCTCTTAGACTAATTAATGTGAGGGCTTAGGGAGCCTTTGGGGAGGAGAGGCAAGCCTTTCCCACGAGCTCAAGTTCCTGCAGGCTGGTGGCAGGGCCAGGGCAGAGGTAAGCGGAAGGTCCAGAAGTACAACCCAGAGGGGAGAATGCGTTGTCTGCATGTAAGGGGGGGGCACCCTTCATCCTCCTGAGCAGGGGTGGGTGAGGAGAAGGAGGGGTGTATGAAGGAGGTGCAAGGGTAATGAAAACTGTGAGTGGCAAGCAAAGAAGTCCTTGGCAGACTGCAAAGAGAAGACCCTCAAGGTTCGCCCTGTGGGTCACATGTGGGCCAGAGGTGAAGCACACACCAGGGGCACGTAACCAGAGCAGAGGCAGAGGCTGGAGGCAGAGGCAGTGGTTTTGAAATCTTAAAGAGCTCTTGTGGAAACAGGGCATCCCACAAGGAAGCACCATCTCAGGAACTACACAGAACACGGGGCCTAGCACCAGTGGTCCAAGGATGGCTGGGTGGTCCCATTCGTAAGTGGGTCTCCCTCATTTCCCTCCCTCCACAGACACGAGCCCTGAGACTTTTGGGAGACTCTCTGGTCCGGGGCTGGGGAGACCTAAGCTTTGCCCCCAGAGGGGCCGTCCCCACTCCCGGCGTCGCCACCGTACCACCTTCAACCCAGCACAGCTGGAACAGCTGGAGTCAGCCTTTGGGAAGAACCAGTACCCTGACATCTGGGCCCGAGAGGGACTTGCCCAAGACACTGGCCTCAGTGAAGCCAGAATCCAGGTGATGATGCCCTAAGGTACTCGGGGAAGAAATAAACATTTCCTGGGTGCTTGGGGGACTTTTAACCCGAACTTAACTATTCAATAGAATATAGGTTCCACCCACCAGTCGGCATGACCTCAGGTGCACCTGACCCCAACTCTAAGCTCATTCAGATGGAGGTTGATGGGTGTTGGGTGTTGGGTGTAGGGCCAGTGATGTGTAGCGCAGGAGGAGAGCTCTTGCCTAGCATACACAATGCCTGCATGCTGGTCCCCAACACCACACAAACAAAAAGGAAGTCCAGACCCACTCCCCAGCCTTTCATGCAGACACAAACTCCAACAAACAGGCAACCCTAACTGTTCACACGCGTGTGCAATCTTGCCTCTAAGACTGCCTTACATTTCCACGAGCCTCATATTCCTGAAGTCTCCCACTCAGGACAAGAGCGCTGATGTGACTTCTCTTCCCTCTCCTCAGGTCTGGTTCCAGAACCGCAGAGCTAAGGAACGGAAGCAAGAGCGGGCGCTGCTCCAGCCACTAGCCCGTCTGTCTCCTGCCTCCTTCTCTGGCTTCTTGCCAGAGTCCCCTGCTTATCCCTACCCCTACACGACACCACCTCCCCCAGTGGCCTGCTTCCCTCACCCCTACAACCACACCCTCTCCTCCCCACCCTCCACAGGTGCCTCATTCACTCTTCCTCCCCAGCCTGAGGACTGGTACCCCACCTTACACCCAACCCCTGGTCATCTGCCCTGTCCCCCACCCCCACCCATGTTTCCCCTCAGCCTTGAGACACCAAAACCCTGGAACTAAGTGGTGACAAGGTCACTCTCTACCCATAAACTTCACAAAATGCAAGAAAATCGGGGGCTCTCTTTTCATCCTAAGGGTGAAGTTGGAAATGTGGTGAGGGGCAGTTCAAGACTGGAAATGGGAAAAGGGGGGATCTTGATGAACTGTCAACAGGGTAAGGAGTTAAGAGACTATGAGGAGGTTAACCGGTAGGAGATACAAGCTGAAAAGCTCCAACAGAGGTGACAGGAGGGCAGTGTTGATGGGACCAGTGGATATTGTTGGCGAGGGATGATCAAAAGAGACTTTGAAGCTTCATTCATTGAGATCCCTGTGGGAGAACCTGAACGGAGGCTGAATGTACTCCAGTCGCTCTGAAATCATCTCCTGACTTCCTTTCCATTTCAGCAGGCATGCGGCTTGTGGCCCTGTGGGGTGTGTGTGTGTGTGTGTGTGTGTGTGTGTGTGTGTGTGTGTGTGTGAAAGAGAGAGAGAGAGAGAGAGAGAGAGAGAGAGAGAGAGAGAGAGAGAGAGAGACTTAGCCTCCTTCCTTTCATTTCCCTCCCTTAGTCTTTCTTGTCTCCAAAACACCTTTGCTAATCTGACCATCAAGGAATGCCTGATGCAGAGCACATGGCTGTGACTAGCTTGGTCTGAAGGAGCTGGCAGCATCTGCCTCAGCCCAACTTTAAAATCAGCTGCAGGTTTAAACATACTTTGCTTGTGACAAAGAAACCGCATGACCTGAGGCAAGCTTGTCCACAGACAAACCACCCGAGACTCTTAAGAGGTCATTCCCAGGAAAGGATTTTTTTTTTTTTTTTTTGAGTGCCTTGGTCTTAGCCCCTCCCCAAAGAAATACAATATAACCTCACCTAGTTGGTGATACCACGTCTGTTTTGTGTAGCTTGGACTTGTTTCATTTGTAACTCACTATTTATTGGTGGGATCATGGAAGGACATTTAGAAAACAGGCCTCCACAGACGGATAATCATGATGCTTGTATATTTGCTTATATCTCAGAAATGCCTGCAGTCAAAACTCCTACAGGATACATCTAGATGATTATCTCATTATGCCTGACAAACTTCAGGAAAGATTTTGAAGGTAGATTCTAGATGTACAAGTTCTGCAGCTGACACTTCAACAAGTTACAAATCAAAAATATTCTCAGCCAGATATAGTGGGTGGTGCTTACACTTTCAGTATTTGGGAGGGTCTCCAGTTGAAGGGCAGTCTGAACTACACAGTGAGTTTCATGCCATGCTGAGACACATAGTGAGACCTTGTCTCAAAAACAAATCCAAAAATTCCAAAATAGTTACATGTGCTCTGAGTATGTACAGATTTTTATTATCAGTATTAGCAATTTAGTCTAACAGCAGGGGTGTTCAACCTTTTGGTACTGGTGAGATGACGTCTCTACAAACGTATTGGGAGGCTTTCACAGCTGACTCTGGAGGCCCGTGGCCTGCAGGTTGGCTATGATAGAAATGCACTTGAGGGGATTGCATAGATTATGCAAATAGTATGCAAATACTTGAGCATTCTTAGATCTGGGTCTCTGAGGAAGGGCCTAGAACCAATCCCACACAGATGCTAAAGGATGGCTCCACTAGTCCCGAGTCCATCAAAAATATTAGTTCAGTACATGGTCGGTGGGTTTTTTGTTTTTGTTTTTTACCATTTTTGGCAATTGAGAATGATGTCACTTTTACTCATCTTGAAAGTTTCCTTTATTTCTACTGAGAGATAAAGGTTTTGAGCTTATTAGAAATTTACATTGTTTCCTCTCTCTGTAGCCTGAGTGTATCTGTGGGTTGATGTACCCATTTTCCACCAGTTCCTGAGAATGCTGGGGACACTGCCTGTACCTGTGGAAACTCCTTTTGACTGTTCATTACTTGTTTTCTGCCTTTTTCAACGAGAGTTTCCTAAGAAAGCTAAACCCCAACTCCCTAGGCACCTATCATATGCAATGACTTAACTTTTGTTTCAAATGTCTAGAATTGTGCCCATTTTGTAGAACTGGTAGAATTTAGAAAACAGTCATTTGGTTCATTTTCTGTATTCCAGGCTTTACAGAAGAGCCCAGCTGATGAACTCGTGGCCTTCACTGGCTTCTCCAATGTTTTCTTCATCATTTGGATAAAAACATGATGCTTTGAATCCTCTGAAATTTACTATGCGCGGTAAAACAGTCCTGTGCATGCTTACCCTGGATCAGCTAGCAGGTCACTCCTGTATCATTTCTTTGATGGTGTAACTTTGCCCTATTGCTGTGTAAGGGTGTACATTTTTGTGCACCAGGTTCTCGTGTGTATAGGGACAGCTGCAGCCACCAAGTCCTTTCTCTGTTCCAGTACCAGAACCAGAGTGTTCAACAGCTGAAATGTGAGAATCCTGGGTAACTTTTAAAGGTCTCATAACCAAACACAAGGTGTGTCGTGTCATTTCTTTCAGACTCCTGTGTCTCTCAGCAAAGTTGGTGTTTGGTTTAGACTTTATTGAGCTGCGGTCTCATTATTTGTCACAGGCTGGCCTTGAACTTGCTGTGCAGCCCAGATAGGCTGGCCTTGAACTTGCTGTGCAGCCCAGATAGGCCTGGAACTCTCAGTCCTCCTGTCTCAGCTCTCCCTCCCCAGGGCTGGGGTTCTAAGCGTGCACCAGCACATCTAGCCAAGCAAGTTCTTTTGCTTTTTACAAAAGACACGGCTTAAAGTTACTTTATAAATTATGCAGATACATATATCTGCTATTTGTAACCCAAATGGGGATTTTATATATTTTATATATGTGTATGTACCTAAATTATAAAAGTCTCCTAGGGAGAAGTTTCTTTAAAAAAAAAAAAAAAAAAAAAACTTCAATCTGTCATATCATTATATAGTTTTAAAATGTGCAACTTTTATTTTAAAGTTAAAAATGATCATGGCATTGTTTGTTATAGTACATATACATAAAGGAAAATAATAAGACCACACAAGAAGAGTGAGCTCCAGTACCCGGAAGGAGATCCAGGGTGTGTATATAGAGGTGCTCTGTTCTGTGGGGGGTATCTGCTATGAATTTGTCCTAAACTTGAATATGGAAATAATTTATAGTAGTTTCCTGACTTAATGATCTTGCCCATTAACAATGCCAGTCATCATAAGTAACTGTGCCCACAGTTTATTTATGATCACCAAAACTATGAGCATGCACACAGAAGTCTTTCCCTTTCTAGAAATAAGGTGAGGGCCATAGGTGCTAATTCCTTTTTGCCTTTTCAAGATTAATAATTCACAGACGACTTTCAAGTGGATTGTGTCCATCCTGTTTTTGTTGCTAGCATGTGATCCCTCAGCCCTCCTTGAAACACACAGGAAGTGGAGCTGTTTTGGCGTTTTGTTTGGTTATTTGAGCAGCACAAATGTAGCTGTGGTTTATTGCTAAGGAATAATTTTTGATAAGTAAAATGATGACTCTCTCAGATAGAAAATAAACATTTTTTATTTTATAAATACCTAAATATATTTATAAATATATCTAAATTTTATTTTATAAATATCTAGATATATTTATAAATATATCTTAAAAAAAAGATAGAAATAAAGGGATTTTCTTAAACTCAGGATTAAGCTGGCCATGATTAAGATGTTGAAGTAAATTCTGGGCCAATCAAAGAAGAGACACTTACGAACAGGGCGAGTGACATGGTTATGTAACCTGAAGTTATGGTCTTTGGAAAATGAGGAGAGTAGTCCACTGAAGTTCCAGGGATACTATTTACACTTTGTATGAGTTAATTTTTGCATCACTACACTTGTAGAGTTGTACAGTAGCCCCCAAACTAAAGGCTTCAGAGACTCCATGGAATCCAAATCAAACCACCCAGAAAGATATTGAAGAACAATTTTGCATCAAAGCATTTCCCCTGCATTCCCTCTTGTGCAGGAACTTTTCTGTGCATGCGATGGCTGTTCCATGAGAGGATCACTGCCTAGGGCTGTGTGCAACTAAAGCTGTAAGGCAGGAGAGGAAGAAAGGTGATGTAAGATAAAAACTGTAATGCATACTCCCTGACTCATTTACCAAAAGCGTAGTTTAGGGTAGCTTCAGTTTCAACAACAAAAGCAAAATATTAGAATAAAGCTGGAACCAATTTTCCTATATAGTTCAAATAAGTAACATGGTGTATCTCACGGTCATTAAAAAAAAAAGTAAGTTAAACCAAAAATAGTAGACAGAAGGAAATAATAAAGTTCAGGGTGGAAATCAATTGAGTGGCTAATAAAAGAACACTCCAAAAACAAATCAATGAAACAATTAGTTCATTGGAAAAATAATTTAAAAACCATAAACCCTTGGACAAACTAACCAAAAGAAAGGGAAACAAGATCCAAACTAATGAGATAGAGATAAAGAAAGGCTATTACAACGCACACCAATAAAATCCGCTGTGTCGTTAGGGATATTTGAAAACCTATTCCAAAAATCTGGAAAATGTAAAAGAGATGGGTAAATTCCTAGACACACATGGCCTGCCAAAATTAAATCAAGAGACTCTAAACAATATAAACAGATCTATAATGAGCAACGAGATGGCAGCTGCCATAGTCTCTTAATAAAGAGGCCGGAACTCAGCCGGGCGGTGGTGGCGCACGCCTTTAATCCCAGCACTCGGGAGGCAGAGCCAGGCGGATCTCTGTGAGTTCGAGGCCAGCCTGGACTACCAAGTGAGTTCCAGGAAAGGCGCAAAGCTACACAGAGAAACCCTGTCTCGAAAAACCAAAAAAAAAAAAAAAAAAAAAAAAAAAAAAGAGGCCGGAACTCAGCGTCAGAACCTACCTACCAGACCCTCAAAGAAGAGAACTATGGAGTGAGGCAGAATCGCCGTGGGGTTTTAACTTGAATTTCCTTGATGCCTAATGATATTGAATGCTTACAAGTACTGATGAGCTTGCATATCTTCTGAGAATTCTGCCCCACTGGGAGAGAAGAAAGGAACTAGGGTGACATGGAAAGAAGGGGTGGATAGGGGAGGGGGAGGAGCCAATAAGAGCAAAGTACAATCACATCTACGTATGAAAATGTCAAAATAAAACATTTTAAAATAATAGTTAAAAGAGAATTATGGTAAGACAGTCTAGGGGTTGGGACACGGTTCGGGTTAAGAACACTTGCTGCTCTTGCAGAGGACCCAGGTTTGGTTCCCAGCCCCCAGGTTCTGCAGCTTACATCAACCTACACCTCTAGCTGCAGGAGACCCAACACCCCTTTCTGGCCTCCTCGGGCAGCATGCACACACATACATGAATATAAATCCAGAAAAACACTTTGAAAATAACTAGTTCCAAAACAAACTCGCTGTTTTGGTTACAAGAACTAATTGTAAAATTTGTTGAATGAATGAACAGGTATATAAAATCCGGTGTGGAACCCAGAGGGTGCCTAGAAACACAGGGTCGTCTTGAAGTAGGTGGGCAATCCCAGCAGTCAGAGCAAATGCAATTCATCCAATGCCTAGTGCCCTGCATTCCCTTGAAATACAGCATCTTTCAGGAAAAACGAAGAGAAAGTCCAGGTTAATCTCAATAAATAAACGAAGGGACAAATGTTATTTCAGTTTAGTGTACCTAGCTTTGCTCAAAATTTAAAAATGCTTTAGATTTTTTTTAAGACTTTATTTTTATTTTATGAATTTTTGCAAGACCTTGGCCACCCCTAGAACAGAGCAGGGTGAAGATGGGGAGATTGGAGGATTTC